TCAACTCCCCCTTCCTCCAGCTGAATAGTTTCAACCTCAAGAATAATTGGATCCAGACAAAGGACACACAATGCGATTGAATCCATGGGAGACTCGTACCAGCTGCTGGCTTCCCCAGATTAACAACAGTTCCCCTGCCTTTCTGCTCCCTGCAGTTTCTGAGCAGTTTTAACTGAATCTCCAGATGGATTTGGACAAAGGTATAAGGTAACATTTGAGAGACCACATGACTTCAGCGGTCGCGTTCTCTCTCTCATGTCATCTCTGTACTTGGATGGAATCTTCCAGTCCTGGAGATGGTGGGACATCGAGGGAGGGTTGAGGGGGAAGGCAATATAGGAAGGATGGTGCTGTCCCAAAACCCCACCTTCACCTTTTCTGGATGAGAATATGGCCCAAGTTTTACCTTCCTGTCCCACTGCCAATTGAGGCCTTAAAGTTGCTTGGGCTGGAGCAGAAAGATGGGATTGGCTGGGGTTGTTTTCCATGGAACAAAGAAGGCTGATTGGGACTCTGATTGGGCCATAGATAGGATCGATGGGGAGAAAACCTCTCCCTTAGAACAGGGCTCAGTAATCAGGGGCCATGGATTTCAGGGCACGGCCAGGAGGATTTAAGGAAGAATATTTTCACCCAGAGAGTGGTTGGTATCTGGAACTCACTACCTGAAAAGGTAGAGGCAAGAAACTTCAAGACATTTCAGAGACAATTAGGTGACTGCTGAAAAGCCAAGGCTATGGAACAAGTGCTGGGAGATGGAATTAGAATAGAGAGATGCTTGACCAGTTTGGATACTGTGGGCCAAAAGACCTTTTTCCGTACTGTAAAACCCCTATGACTCTCACTGGTTGATTAATGACCTCTTAAGGCCCAATTCCCACCCCGACTGGAATAACCTCCATTCCAGTTGGGATGAGAAAGTCTGCCAACCCAATGGGTGAACCAATGTGGAGAGGCTATCAGTTGTTGGTAGGGTGGGCTACCCAGTACATGGGGAAGGGAGATGGCCCCCAGAGAGACACCCCTTGTTCCTGGTTCGAACCACACCCCCGCACCCTGGCCAGTGACTCAGAACCCCCCAAAATTCCCCTCCCTCTTCTTGACACCTTGGTGCACGTGACTTCTGTTCTCCTGCCAGCAGCAGCTAAAGCCTTCTCAGTAGCACTGCCAAGTGCCAGAACTGCCAAACTCAGATCAGATGGTGGTGCTGGCTGAGCAGGAGTGGACTTCCACCCCACAACCCTCAGGCACTGCCCTCTGGTCTGTGCTGTCTGTACTGCCCTCTGGACTGTGCTCTCTGCACTGCCCTCTGGTCTGGGCCC